CAGACCCAAGTCAATTTTTGAATTTTTTTAGGTTTAGCACGTGCTACGAGGTCGTACCTTTGATACAACATCCAGTGCTGGGACCTCCACAGCAAGCCATTTCCACAGCGCTGCACACCAAATCCAGGATACCCTCAAAAATCAGCAAAGACTACCACTCACGTTCCACTAGTTTACTGCCTAGTACTGAATACCACCTGACTTCTTGACACGACTCAAACTTGCCAAAGTCACTAAATCAACGTCAACTACAATAATCAAGCCACATATCTGCAACGTCACGAGTGTGCTGGCAAAAGTCCTGCTGCACGACGGCGGGCTAAAACACGTGATTTTTGGACTTTTTTGGACTTGGAGCAAAATTCTGCACACTTTCGCGTGTTTCCATGATACGACAAGTTGCGCACGGTCTGCTCACATTCAAATACAGTGCTGCCAAAAATGACAGCGCGCAACAAAAAAATCTTTCCTTGCAAGGGCACATTTTCGGCCATAACTCTTGAACGGCTGGTCAGATCGAGACAACATTTTCAGAGATTTTGCAGCTATTCATGCTCTTTCAACTGATGTAGCACTCGATATGAATTTACAAATTCGACGTTTCAGGGATTTTACGAGCAGTCTGCCCCCTTAACTTCGCCTTTAAGTCTAACTTCCCCTTTAAGTCATAACTCTTAACCGTGATTTTGTCCTTTCTTTTTATCCATGATTACTTTGGCTCAACATCCTAACCTTGTGTATATCTCAACATTGCATTTCATATGAGATACTTCACACTGTTTGATGCACGGTTGACCTTGCGTTGTGAGAACATTCAATAGTTTTAAAAGCTATGAAACAGCTTTTGCCTGCATGCCCCCCCCCCCCCCCCCCTCCCCACACACACATCACCACCACCACCACCACCGCCACCACCACCACTAACACCACTAACACCACCACCACCACCAATACTACACAAATTCCTACCTTTACCTGTTTTGTGTGCTGCTATCCTGTAGTATTGGTAGTAAAACAGCCAAGCATTCCTGTACAAAACACAATGTGTGGATATAGTGCTTTTACTTCAAAAGTACCACAATTTTCATGTTTTCTTTGAGGTCAACAAGTAAAATATCGAGTTCTTTCATAGCCTTTCAAGTTACTGTTGAAATTCGGATGAATGGCTTGAGTGAGCAGAGAGAAAAGAGGTGGTATGGAGATCACTATCCAGGTATTAGATTACAGGTTTAAAACGATACGTGAAAATAGGTCTGTCAATTCACAGACTTCTTCCAGTCTCCAGCCCTCAGTCAAACAAGGTAGATTTCATGAAGTAAATTCCTTGATGATTTTGAGAACTGGGCAGCTCCATTGTAGCCTTGCCATCTATTCGCTACACCTCTAACCCTAACCTGTAACACAGGAACAGTCCTAGGCTGCACCACGCACAAAACTTGGTTCCAAGCTTTCGCCCAGGAGGGAAACATCTCTGTTACGGGTTGGAGGTACATGCCTTAAGGCCGGTTCATACTTCATTTCGCGTACTGGACCGTCGCGCGATGGCTTTCCCGTACGCGAAATAGTTGAGCTCAGATCAGCTTTTTCGCGACGAGACGCGTTTCCCGTACGCGAAATGAAGACTTAGTATGAATCGGCCTTTAAAGGGGAAGTTAAGGCAAAAATCAAAATTTCACCAGTTGTAGTCTTCGGGGTACTGAGTCGAATGGTCTTGGTCCGAGAAATCTGAGACGCTCCCTTCCTACTTGAATCCCAATCGAACTCGCGCACTTCCACCGAAACTGGGTGACTGCGCCCTACTAGATGGGGATTTGTATGCAAAATGTCACTAAAAGCGCCATTATTTCGTTCTTATAAAAGCACGGATGACCGCGATTGGCCCAAATGTTGTAGTCTTTTGGACGCTGAGTTGATTGGTTTTGGTCCGAAAAGGCTGCGATGCAGCGTTCCTCCTTTATTCCCAATCGAACATGGTTGAACAAGCGGTCACGTGCTCCTGGGTGCCCAAATCACCTGGTCACCACGCCAGCAGGCGACAACTTTCACACCAAGGTTCAACTCGAGTTCAACTCGAGTGACAGGAGTGCACCCAAAAAAGGTCAAACAGGCTAGTAAGTTGTACCCTGCAGACACGGTGACCAGGTGACTGGTGTACGCAGGAGCATGTGACCACTTGTTCAACCATGTTCGATTGGGAATAAAGGAGGAACGCTGCATCACAGCCTTTTCGGACCAAAACCAGTCGACTCAGCGTCCAAAAGACTACAACATATGGGCCAATCACGGTCATCCGTGCTTTTATAAGAACGAAGTGGCGCTTTTAGTGACATTTTGCTTACAAATCCCCATCTAGTAGGGCGCAGTCACCCAGTTTCGGTGGAAGTGCGCGAGTTCGATTGGGATTCAAGTAGGAAGGGAGCGTCTCAGCTTCCTCGGACCACGACCATTCGACTCAGCACCCCGAAGACTACAACTGGTGAAATTTTGATTTTTGCCTTAA